GTTTACATACAGGGTTCCTTCGCAACGTTGTATAGGATTTTCGGCGCTGCAACGGTTAATAGTCCTTAAGCTACGAGGCTTCAGTCATGTACCTATACAGTAGTAACTTTGGCCTCAAATGGGATCCTATGTCTATACAAGTAGGTGAAGTCAAAGTGTTCAACTATATGGGCACATGGACCCCTACCCTCCCAAAGAACCAAACTCTAAGCCTTCAGCCCTAATGAACCTAAACTCTCGACCTTCAACCCTCAACCCTAAAACCCGAAACCTTCGTCCTTCAGGGGTCTAGGGCCTCATATAAGGTCCTTGAAAGCATAGGGTAAGCCTTCCACCCTAAACCTCAAATCCTATATGCTAAACCCTAAACTCTCAAACCTAAACCCGAAAACCCCGAAACCTCTCAACCCTTCAACCCCTAGACCCCTGAAGCCTAAACCGCTGAACCCGAAAATGTTGAAACCCCTAAACCCCTAAACCCGACAACACCGAAACCTCAAACCTTGAAGCTCTCAACCCTTACCTTTGGTTATGGAAGAATGGTAGAAATAGAAGTTACAAATTATACCCCATTCCTCCATTCCCTACTAACCAAAGGTAAGTCAACCTCGCTCGGGAGTCCTCCTCCTTGGGAAGCAACGGCTCCACGGGCCTGGCTGGGAGCATCTTCCCAGAGAGCCCAATACCCTTTCATTAAGTAATATGGCTTAAATTATATAGGGCTTCATATTATGATTTAAGCTATATTCCTTAATTAAGGGGTATTGGGCTGCCTGGGTTCCCGGCGTCAGAGGCTCGGGGTTTTAGGGTTTGAGGGTACAGGGTTGGTTTTGAGGGGGTTTAGTGGATTCGGGCTTAGGGATTTGGGGGTTTTTGGGGTTTAGGAACTTAAGGTTTAGGGGCTCAGGGCTCGCGGTTTAAGGTTGCAGATGTTTGGGGTTCAGGTGTTTAGGTGTGTAGGTTTATGGAAAGTTTATGGTGCTTGGGGTTTCAAGGTTTTAAGATTCAGGGCTTGGCGGGGACTCGGAGTTTAGGGCTTTAGGGTGCAGGGTCCCAACATCTCGGGGCTGGAAGTTGCCTACAGTAGAAGCCCAAAAGTTGGAAACCCAATAGCTTCAACCCTTAAGAGTAATGTATAGGGAATCCCAGCACTATTTGGCCTTAATCCGGTTTGCAATTTTATGGGGTTTACTGTGCAGCAAGGGCTTTGGGTTTGGATTCGAGGGTGTACGGCATAGGCTCAGAATTTAGGGTAGAGGCGTGGGGCTGTAGGTTCGGTGTTTCTGGGGGTTCTCAGGGATTCAGGACTCGGGCTGGTTTGAAGGTTTGCTGTAGGGAAGACGGATTTACAGGGATTTGAAGTGGGATTCGGGAGGTCCAGTGTAGGAGCCTTGAGACGCAGAAATGTCGTTTTAGCGAACATTATTAATGTAGTTACTTAGCAACCATGAGGATAGTGCCCCAATTGTTTCGACCCTTTGTTAGGTTGAAGGTTCAGAGTTGAAAAAACGAGTTTATGTGGAAACTCAAAGCTTGAGGGTTTGAAGATGTTGCTGTAGCCAAGGATCTGGAGGGATTTGCGTAGGGGTTTGGGGTTCAGGGGGCTCCGGCAGTTAGTTTTAGTTCAGCTTCTTGGCTCGGGGACTCTTGCATATAGGGTTAGGAAACTTTGCCACGGATCTAAAAAAACAGTGTCCTCTCATTCTGAATCGGACATGACGGTTAGGACGGTTAGGATGCTTTACTGTTTGGCCGTGCTGATTCAACACTACGACTGCTGCTGTCTGCAATTAGCGCACAGGCTCGCGGCCAAAACAAGACATTTGGGGCTTACGTGTTGTTGGTGTCTCATGCGGTTCGACAAGAACCCTCTATCAAAAACCCGAGCGCCCTAAACCTTACGAAACCCTAAACCCGAAACAACCCTAATAAAGACTAAAATGCACTAAATCCTTTATACACAACCCTGCACCTTACATACCCCAGCCGTGCTTTTCTGGGCTGCACTGGCTTCGGCTGCGCGCGGAAGTTGCATGGAAGCCCAGCCACGACCTCCAGCTACCTCTGAAAATACAGCAGCCTTGGTATTCAGAATAGGGTTCCTTTAAGGCTTCTGTAAATGGTCGCTATAAGGGTTCGATGATGGAGGTGCTTAGAGCAATATTGTGTAAGTTTTTTTGGGGGGTATGTTATCGTATTTCGAATACGGAAACCTGAGGAATAGTAGTACTAGTCTTGAGTTGTCTACAGAACTGATTGGCTGGGCTTTGTAAGTTTTAGGGTATTCGGGTGCTCTATAGGTTCTGAAATGATTTGAAGCGAGGGTTTTCAGAAACTTAAGTGTGTGTCGTTGTTAGGAGGAGGGCTTTGTTTCGATGCTTTCGGTGGTGGTTCGCATCTAATCACCCTGAAACTCTGGTAAGTGGCGGAGGTTAGAGGTTCAGGGTTTCAAGTTGCCTTTTCGTCGCAGGGCTGCTTGACCCTAACGACTTAGCCGCTGCAGCAAAGGGGGTTAAGGGCTGGAGTCTTGCAGTTGGTGGAGCCTCGGGCTGAACTTTAATATCTATAGGCAAACAAGAGCCCTTTACTTCATAAAAGCGCTTTATAATCATCAGAACAAGGCTTTAATGGTGGCACATTACGGTCTGATGTTTTGCAGGATCCCTCGGGGAAAAAAGACTATTTAGCTACTCAAGGCTTCTACACTACTGGTTCAACTGCAACTGTCACCCGCAGAAATTCTGGGCATGATTTATGGCTGATCCAGCTGCGGTGCATTGGTGCATACTTCTGACTTAAGGTATTGGTGGACAAGTTGTTCTAGCGAGATTCTGGCGTGTGCCTCAGGTTGATATAAATTGGATGTGCAGCTCCGGGAGGTACTTGGAGGCCGTGGAGAAGCCTGTGAATTTGCACGAATCTGCACCCCTTCAACTCGTGCAGCGAGAACGAATTGCTAGCATCTTCAGTTTCACCCGGCCGTCACAGCTCATTCCAATTACCTATGCTCATGAAAGTCCACCTAAAAGCAATAAGTACGCTGCGACACATGAAGCCCTAGACCCTCCATCTAAGCCTATTTGATCCTGATTCAATATTTTCGGACTATGTACCCCTACTTGAAGGTACAATATCTGATGTGTGGAGCAGCTGCCTTTTCTTGTCGTAACGGCCCACAACTGAAGCACACCCGCCACGATTTGATACTTTGGTACAAGGCGCAAGCCTATGTGCGCAGCAGTGAAACTCAACTCAGCGTCCTGCGTTCAGAGCGCAACGAGACAGAAGGGACAAGGTCTCCCCGTAATTTGAATCACACAATAATAGGTACAGGGCAAATTCAGACAACGTCCGAGAGGAATGAGACGAGACGGGCTCCGAATACAACGTAATTACTAAACCTCCCGTGAGAAACAAGCCGGTTTGTCCCCTAAGACTTACTTACACCCATAAATTTTGAAGCCCCCAAACGGCATGTCTGCATGCTCTGCATGATGCAGATCTCTTTCCAAATCCGGCCCCAGCATTACATTGCCCAATGCGGGCAAAAAGCCGGGGCCGAAACCCAAAAGAGTAGCATTACAAATCATTCCGACCCCTGAAAGAGCCGGAAACATAATCAAGAGCGCTGAAGGAGTAGTAGTACTAAATGACTCGACCCTCACACCCCCGGAAGCTTTGTTTGCAGAAGTGCGAAGTGCAGAAGCCTGCTGGCTGTCAGTCTACAACCCGAAAAAGCTTGTAATGGTTTAAAAGTTGAATGCTTGGGGCTGAATGCTGAATTTTCAAAGTTTACTAGAATGGTTCTATTCTATATGGGAGTCTAGGGTAGAGGACAGCGAGAGGCCAGCAAGCAGGGTCTGCATGAGAGCCCGCAGCCTCGAGGACTGCATAACCAAAGGGTCCTAACTACCGATATGTAGGGATTCTATATTCGGAATTACTATTATGATCCAGGGAAGTATCCCCCATAACGGTACATAGGATCCTTTGGGATATTGGAGATGTGCTGGAGTCTTAAGCCACGACGCGTTGAGGGCTTATTTTAAGCATATTCGTTGGAGCATCTGTTCGGGTGCTGGGCTTGCTTGACTGTCTTCAGTGTATCCAGGTTCTGATGTTATGGTGGAATGGGCCGCTGCACATGACTCGGTGCCACAGTGCTCCGGCAATCTGCGATGTCCCGCGTGCGAGGAGAACGTCGTATTTTGTTGTTTGGTCTCTCTCTCTCTCTCTCTATATATATATATATATACATATATATATATATATATATATATTTATTTATTTATTCATTTATTTGAGGGCGCAAGGGGGGTCCTGGAAGATTGCGATTTAAGACCTTGCAGTCAGAACCCTCAAGTCGCCAGGGTCCTGCATGGTTTTTCTTTTCGGGCGATCAAGTTTGACTGTGAAAAAAGAAACCATTACCCATTATAAGGAACATACCATAGTTCCCATAGTTTAGAGTCCTTAGGGTCATGCAGGATTTTGTCCATCAGCAGTAGGTTGGCCCTTTGAAGCCTCTGAAAAATGTTCGTAAATAGGGTCCTATTGAGCCCAATAATTAGGGGAAAATGTAACATGTCCCGAAGGCCTGCCTAGAGGAATGACCTTACACCCTAAGCACTGGACCCTAAACAATAACCTTCAGGAACCCGCCGACTTTCGACCGAAGATTGAACGTTCTGCATGTGCAGCAAAGTGCACGAACATCCCATGCTCGAAACCCCGTGCTAGACTAGCTGCACTACCCGGTGGACTCCGAATGTCTCTGATCGCATTGCGGCACATCTACAGTCCTTTGCACAAAACCCCAGGAGTGTAAGAGCCAACACGATTTGCGACACAACCTGAAATGGCAACTCTCGTAACAGTAACTTGCGTGCTGGGCAAGGCCAAGATGCTGAAAACCCACATCACCGACACCAACATTTCTCCAAGGAGACACAAAACAATAACATTGGTGTCTTGCTCTCCCACCCCATTGCTCCGTGCCTTCACTTCGCCCGGCGCTTGGCATTTCCTGACACCCGTGACCCAGAAACTCAACCGGAAGATCCAAGCCCTCACTTCTCACGCGCTATATACATCTAACCCTATATAAGGATCCAAAGGACCTTATTACTGGATGCGTGGCTTTAAAATCGTAGTTTTGTGGGCAGTTTTTGGGAGAGTATGTGATGATGAGGAACTTGGACCATTAGGGTAACCGCACAGGCTGTACAGGGGAGTGCAGACTCCAGTTGTCAAGGAATACACGCCAGCGATCAATCATGACCCCCCCATCACCATGATTACTACGCTTAGCTTGTCGGATCAATAAGGGAGCGGCATTCTTGAGTAAACAGCAAACGGAATCGTGTGCCAAACCTACTCTTGACAGTCAACTGTTCTGTTTTCGGGTGCACCGCGTGCTAGCAAGCCTCTCAACCCAATTGCCGAACCCTGGTCATGAGCTCCACACTACCCAGCACTACACGCCCCCTCCTCCCGAACCCAAGTCTCAACCCAGAATTCCTATGTAACCCCTGATTTCCAAACCCTGACCTCTAGCTTCTAAACTCTCTACCAGGCCGCTGATGAGAAACGTGTCAAAAAACCCTAAACCTTACCTAAACCCCAAACAAGCTAGTGAACGTCGGTCCAAATAATGGCTCAACACCTATAAAAGGCTGTTTTGTATTTGTCTATATACTTGCGGGATCCAGGTAAGCAGTATCGAAACCCTAAACCCAAACCTGATAAGCCACTACACCCTGAAACCCAAATATCTTTAGGTACCTGGAGGGCCCTGAAGCGGCAGCGGCCGCTTTCCGCCAGCCGCTGGCTCCTGCTTAATTAGAGGACGCTGGGTGAGACGGGAGCGGGGTTCGGGTTTTGGGGTTCAGGGTTTAGGGTTTAGGGTTTAGGGTTCAGGCATTGGGGCTCAGGGTTTGGGGATTCGGGTTTAGGGTTCAGGGTTTTGCGGCTGGCGGTTGCTCCTCGCTCTTGTCCTCGTAGTTGTTGTTGCGCAAAGGAGATCATGGTGTTTTGGGGCTGAAGGACTTAGGGCTGAGAATGGCTGAGGGCTGCTTTTGGCGAAGAAACTCTTTACCGCCGAGGAGAAATGAGGTCCACAGAAATGCATCACCAGGGCCGCATTCGTGGAATGAGGGCTCTCAGGATGAACAGTGATTTCGATACCCCAAAACTACAAGGCATTGAACAGTTTAGGATTTTTAGGGCTTTGTCTCTGAGGTTGAGGATTCAGGGTTTAAGGATTAAGGTTTAGGATCTTTGGGTTCCATTTGACTGAAAGATGTCGGAGGCTGCAGTTTCCCTGTAGTCGCAAAGGTCCCTGGCCCAGAAAGGTCAACCTCAAAATCGTGGTGGGGCCATCAATGAAGCCCACCTATCCTCTCTATTGTCGTTCTTTCTTAGGGCTACCTTATAGGATCCTGGTTTGATATAGGGTTTAACACAAAAAGGAACTACACCGGAGACTACCGGCAACGTCTCAAGAACAGCTACTCAGCTGTAAGATACTGCCAGACCCGATCCAGGATCCCTGGGCTTCGAGACGTGGAAACTATCCCCCCTTAGAACCATAATTAGTAAGAAAACATTTTAAGTATTCTCTTGGGTTTTATATGAACAAAAATAATTGCTAAGGCGACTCTAGGTAAAGGGCGGGAAGCAAAGCAAAAGAGCCGAGCCTGAGTGCTCTCCGTGCCACGCGAGACCTTGGGGCTCGAGTTAGGACCATGTATCTACGTGGCTTATGTACCCTGGCTCTTTGAGGGTCCATGTACCCTTACAGTACATACTTTGGTCCTGAAGTACCTATATACATATATATATATATGTACATATACATATATATATATATATATATATATATATATATATATATATATATATATATATGCCACATGGGCCCTTAGGGGACGCGGCTTATGGGGCCTGGGGAATGTAAGGCCTTTGGTGGAGACTTCACGCGCCACGAGATCCACTACGTGGACTTTAAGGCAGGTACTGTACCAAGTATGCCGGATAAATGCTTTGGGTATGCAGGGCTTGAGCTTCAGCATTCCGGCAGACCCTGCAAGGGAGAGCGGGGGTGGTAGCAACTACCCCACACGCTGAGACAGCGGAGACCGTGTTGCGGAGAACTGGCTTTCAAGGGCCATTGGGTTTCGGGCCTCACCTATAGTCGCCATTGCAGTTTAGTTTTTGGTTGCCTTATGGGATCCTGAACTTGCAAATACTTTAACTGACAATGGAACTACAACGGAGACTGGGTAGGGTGTAGGCTCCAGCCAGATTGGCAGCATTCAAAATGGTAGGTCTTTGGGTAATACTCTAGCCCAATGTGCTATCCTTAAATATCCTAAACCGCAAGGTACTTTGAACACAGCAAGAGGATGCCATGGCAACTTACTATACTTGTTTGTTAGCCTGCTAGTGTTGCTAGAAGAACAGACAAGTTTCAGAATCATATAGACCTATTTTCTCCATTCAATAGGTATACATTCTGTTTGATGGACCACCACTAACATCAGTTGTTGATGACGGACAGTGCCCGTGAATGCAACGCCTTGTCAACCAAAGCTTGCATCGCGAAAACACGTACTACTGACGAGCAAACTGATAAACAGACTTGGGGGGTCAAGGATCTTAGGCTCCTTAGAACTATGAAAAACCACGGTATACCCCGTATCATTTATACTGCTGGCTTTTGTCCGTTGGCAATACGACAGGATCTTCATACCCTGTTGTTACACCGAGAAGAACCTCCCTGTACAGTCACAGAGAGCGAGAGAGAGCCATAGACATAGAGAGAGATACATACGGATGTATGTGTATCATGTGTATATGTACATGTATATGTATAATATATATATATATATATGTATACACAAACGTGTACATCTAGATAGACAGGCAGACGGATAGACGGATATGACAGACCGAAGTCTCGCTCAGATTACCCTGCTGCACATAAATAGGACCAGGCTGCATCAAAGCCGGAAGGATTGATAGCTATGGATTTGGAGACGTCGAGTGTCTTGTAGATGCCTGGCTCCAGGCCAGCAGATGTGGGTTTTCCGCTGCTTTATGTGTGTTTGGCTTTTGTTCTGGGGGTTGGAGGGGTAGGTGAGGGTGTATGTAGATCTGAGGCTCAAGGCTCAAAAACTCAGCGAGCCTTTGCACATGGCCAGATTCGGATTCCGGGCTCAAGGATGTCGATTCAACGTACTCCTAGTGGGAGGCCGCAGTTGAGGGGAACCCGCGCTTCTGACTGCTGCCCAGTGCACAGTCTAAGGGCCCATGTACTCATACAGTGTATGCGCTGGCCTCAAAGTAATTACTCCCTATATGGGAGTTTCTGAAAATCGGGGACTCTAAAATAGTACCCTAAATAGTAGGATCCTTATGACAAGCACCCCCAAAATTTGGCACCCCTATCTTCGGAAACTCCCTAGTTAGGTGCATGGGGCCCGATGTGTATACTACTTGGGTACATGGACCCTTGGGGCAAATACTCCCAAAGAACACAGCCCCTGGCCTGAACCTCTTGGATCTTCGAGGACCGAGAAAGAAGGCCTAAATCATACCTCTACTCTTTTTTTTTGGGGGGGGGTCCTTATTATGATTATAGTATAATGGGCCCCAAAACACTCTTCTAATTCTTAAGGCCCCTATGTTTACGCCCAAGCCAAGAAGTCTCGATGAGGACGACTGAACACCTCAGCTATATGAACCGTACCAAGAGAGTATTTCAGAGCTTCTAGTTTGGATAGCATAGCCACCATGCCCTTCATAGATCAAACCCTGTTTGCTAAAGCTCGACTGGGCTTCAATTCAATCAGCGCGACCTGAAAACCCGAGACTGCAAGCCCCAAACCCCAAAATCCAAAGCCCCCACAGGCCCAAAACCTCAAAACGCCTAGAACCCTAAACCCAAACACCACTCCTAAATCTAACGCAACTCGATAGACCCCGAACCCGGGACAGTGGCCTACCAACAGATCCGCCAGTTCGAACCTCACGGGGCTTCGTCGCGACAAGTCGCTAACTCTAAGGGTTCACGCGCACATCATTCCCTTGAGGTTTCTGTGGAATTGCTAAAATAGCTACAAGGATATTACCAGCGTTTGGCAGAGGGCATGTACCTATGAAGTACGTACCGCTTAACCCAAAAATGAAAGGGTCTTAGGCAGGACAATATCTAGGGTTCTATGGTGTATAAGGGCTTTAGACTTTACAGTGATTGTTATGAGGCTTCGTATTGTAAAGGTTGACAAGCGATTTAATGTACTAACACCCTGTATGTTACATGCTTTGGCCCTATGGACTGTCGATATACGTCCGTTAGAGCCAAAGTGTATATATATATATATATATACATATACATATCAAGATATCAGAGTGTGTCTAAACCACTCAGAGGATCAGGGGACTCTGTTGGTAACCCCGCTTGGGTGGTACGAACTAGAAGTACTCGATCTGGCTTCGTGTTCAGTAACCGGTTCTCAAAAGCAGAAAATGAAAAGACGAGTCTTGTCGGTTCTCCCTCCACCATTGTCCCTAAATTCGAGTTTAATGATTTGGGGTTTGGGAACCCGCTGCTGAGCAAATTCGGGACGAGGTATGCTGTATGGGATGGGAGACGCAGCATCTACTTGCTGGAGTTTGGTATGTCGGATCCGAACCTTGGAAAACTTTCACTTCAAACAAAGGCACATGAATAACCGCTGGTCAAGACGCATGTGATTGCGCAGGGAGATCACGATGAACTGAGCGTTCTTGGTGCGCTCCTGCAGCAATCTCTGGTGGAAGTGAAGTTGCATGTACAAGGTCGGTGCCGGGTTGAGATGCTGGCACATCAGGACAGGGATACCCATCAAGCAAAGCTCGCTTCTTGTGTGGGAGACGTTGCAACTGCTCATCGAAAATTAAAATTGTACTCGCTAACCATGTTCGCCCGAAGGCCGACAAATCCTAAACCTCCAGCCCTGCACCCTCTCCGCCCTCAGCCCGCCCTCTGAACCCCGAACCCTATCAGCCCGGGGCCCCCTTTTTGAAAGCGCTACAACCCTGAACCCGGCTTGCAATTTGAGGCAATGCAATGACATGAAGTTGGGTCCTTGATGTAGTTCGCGATGATCGACACATTTCTGAAGTCAAGTGCTGCATCGATCTCGTCCATGAAGTACAGCGGAGTCGGTCTGGCAGACAAAAGTGGTGATTGGAGCCTGATTGCCTGAGTTTGATGAGTGTATGTATCTAATATATACAAAATGGCCAGACACAATTCCTTTCGAAACAAGCCCTGAAGCCTTGATCACCCGAAAACTGAGTCTCACCTTGCGTTTATTCGGCTGGCACTGCGACCACACACCGAAGTCAACCATACGGCTTAGGGCCTCGTGGTTTAGAGTGTGTGGTTTAAGGTTTGGGATTGCATTTTTGAATCAACTTTAGGGTTTAGGAACGTGTCCATCTTAATTCGTAACTACAAGAGGTTCTGTGTATGCTGTATGTTACTCATACTACCGGGCAGAGTATTGATGTTTTACTCAACTGTGGCACGGCCTAGCCTGGCCTCCCAAGTAACGTGTCAGTAGTCTCCGAGGCGCCTGAACTCTAAAAACCGTAAACACAAGCCACAAGCCCCCTTCAAGCCTAAACGACCGTAGAAACGTAAGATCTATAAACCGTAGAACCCGACAACCTAACACCCCACAGTAGCCCTTTAACCCCTATACCTGTAGCCGCAAAGACTTACCGCTTTAAGGAACTACATACATAGAAACCATAATCACCCGAAGCTGGTATATAGGTCTTTTCGGCTCCAGGTAAACCGTAACACCCAAGAAACCCTCTACTGGCAAGATCCGACCCGAACATCGGCCTGTAGTGATGCAAAGCGAAGACCAAAGACAAGGAGGCCAGGGTCTTCTCCTCAGAATTTATGGCAATTTAGGGCTTAGGAAGTCTAGGGTTTCGGGTTGGGGGCTTAGGGTTTAGAAAGTTTAGGAAGCTTAGGGTTTAGGAAATTTAGGATTTGGGATCTAAACCTTCTATAAGGGATGGCTTCGATAAGGGATTCGGGTACGGGTGCGGTCCTGTGTAGGCTTTGGTACGATAAGGTCAGGGTTTGGGGACTTCAGAGCTTGTTGGTGCAGGACTTTAGGGCTTTAGTAGGGTCGAGGGTTGACGGCTTTGGGGTTCGGGCCTTGGATCAGAGTCCAAAGTTTCTACTGGTCTGACTACCCTAAGGGTGCATGCGACGAGTCAAACAATATATACACCGAAAAACCTGAATCCAAACGCTTATCGGGGCCAGCCAAGTGCCATGGGATTGAACTTTGGGGCAGTGTCGGTATGGTTTATTCCTCTGTCTGCGGAAGGTACCTTCATTTGTGGTGCTAAACAATGTAGCAGCCATCATTTTACCCGTGGCTATGATGCACATGAACCCTTCTTACGAACGAATTAGCTACTTCACATGCTGGTGCTGTGTGTCTACGAGTCTACGAGCTGACGTCGGCCATTATGAAGATTGAGCTGGGCATCCATGAACCTGCAACGATGCTACGCGCTGGGTCTTGGAGGCACGGCTGCTGCTCTTCTAGCGAGTCACCTACAGTCGTCTTATGCAGAACCGTGCTGCAGCAGTCACTGCAGTGCTTTACCATGGACTGCTGAGCGTGTTCAACTGTGAATTCTGTTGCTGCGGTCCCTCTACTAAGGATTGCAACTATTTTGGTACGAAATTGTGCGGGCAGTGATTTCCAGCCACTTCAACGTCCACGAGCCGAAAAGATCCAGAATCCTGGTCAGCTCTATCACCAACCATCCGAATTTCATACATCCAGATCCGTCCGGTGAAACTCGCCTTAAGTGGAACTCTCGGGTGAGCCATGACATTTCTGATATGGGTGGCCGGTAGCGAGTTAAAGCAGATGACAAATCAACCCTGAGCTCTAAACAATAAGATGACATCCTTACGGTTTATGATGAACACCCTGCATTACCTATTAAGGACCCTAGACTATGGGATCTATGGTATATATTCAACCTTATTGTGTGTAATGCAGGATTTGTTTCATCAACCGTTTCAGTGGCCCAGTGGCGCCACCGGACAGGTTGGTGATCTGCTTCCAACCTCGGCAGCAATGCAACAAACAGCCTTTCCTAATGCCATATGGTGTATATTGTTCAGTTCGAGCCGTTGGGGCTTTGGGCCATTGGACCCAACAGCTTTTGGGCTTGAGTCTAAGTCAGTGTGCCTCTACATAAATTCCGTACAGCTGCAACAGTACACGGGTTGCCGGGGTTAGATTCCAGCCTCTGAGATTCGGTGGTGCAAGGTGGCAAGAGGCATTCTACAATGCCAATGATTCGATGCATATGCAACATTCTCACGGCTGTGCTCTACGTCCTCGGAGGTGGCGATAAATAAACCCAAGCAGGTAGTTCTCTTTGAAGCTACCACGCTATACGACCCAAGAGGGCCTTCAATCGAAAACGCCTAAACTCGGAGCCACCCTCACCCGCTAAAAGCTCAACATAGAGAAACCCTGAACCCGCCAAACCCTGACACTGAACCACAGCTTACCTTGAACCCCAAGCTCTCAACCCTCCCTTAGGGCCGTGCTCTTCTTCGGAGGCCGGACGCTGAAGTGGATGCCCTCATTGAAGGGGTCCAAGGTGTCGACCTGGGGGGCTTCTGTATGTCGGCCACTCAAGGGGTTCGATACCCAGGTCCCTTTCAGGATCCAAAAGTAGATCCCGCAAGGGGTGTTCCTACAAGGTAGTATCCTTCAGAAGAATAGGGTCCTCAAAACATGGGTTCTGCTTTTTGAATCCTCCCGGGAGTTTAGGGTTAAGGGTTTATTCGATAAGGGTTCTGTCAGGGTTGCGCAAGGTTTCGTTAGGGGCTCTGTAGGGGTTCTGAAAAAGGCTCTATAAGGATTCTTTCAAAGGCTCTGCAAGGGTTCAACACGGGTAGAGTAAAGGTGTTATAAGGGTTGGACTGTGTAAGGAGTCGATAAGGGCGTTTCATTGTTCGTAAATATGCATTGGCGATCCGAAGGGCTTAGGACTTGTGTGTGTGTGTGTGTTCTCTGTGTAGCTGCTCTGCTTTTCTTGATTTGATTTGAGAGGCTAGGAACCGTGTTCAGCTCGCTCAGGGTCTCTTGTTTGTTGTGACTTTGAGGAATACACCAGCGTCGCGCTGCATTATCCGGGTTTCGCGGCTTTGGACTTTCAGTCTAGCGGAATCTTGAGGCTTCGGGATCAAGGTTTGCTGCTTTGCGGCCACGAGTACCCACGGCCTGCTGAACTCCACATCTCAACCCTGCAAACCTTCCTCCCAAAACTTCCGAGACCGTAAACCGAAGCCCCACATCCGAACACCTGCAACCCCTGTAATTCTTCAAAAATTCCTGAGAAGACTCGTCGCACAAACCTGTTCCAGAACATGAACAATTTCAGCGAGCCCTACACCAACCTCCTCCAACCCCTCCTAAAAAATACCCCCGTCCCTCCACCTTCCTCCCAGCCCTTCTTAAATTGAACCTAAACGGCCCTAACCGGCCCTCAACTCCGAAACCCCAAAGAAACCGCGAGGTGCCCACGAGCTCAAGCTCGGCATCGCCGCCGAGGGTGATCATCTGGTACATCTCCTCACAACGAGCTCTTCTTTTTCATGGTGGGTTTATCTAGAGTTTAGGCTTCAGAGGGTTTGGAGGTGAGACTTTAAGCTCCCTCTTTCCGATGGTTGCTGTCATGGTCTTCCGGGCATGCAACATCGGGGCCGTACTAATTAATGAGAAGGCGAGCGCGCAAATTGAGACACGATAAATTCCGAGAGGGTCCCAGTACCCAAATAGTAAAATAGAAGGGTTGTAGGTCCCAAAATCCATGCGTGTCCCCTGAGTGGCTTTTGGACCTTGAAACCCTGCCATTTGGGTACTTGGACCCTTACTCAAAGGGTCATGGGACTTGGCAACTATAGAGGGTTATAAACGAGGTAACTATACTTATATAGTTACTTGTAACCCAAATTGAAGTACTTATAACCCTACTGACAAAGTCCCATGATCCTCCAATTAGGGTTCTGCGCAGAGTGTTAAGATGGAGCAGGCTGCAAGGCTAAAAGGCCATCGCCTTCGAGCCCAGGAACTTCGAACGCCTGGAACGGATCAGGTTCGTAGGGTTTAGGACCGTTTAGGGTTCTTTATGGATTTTTTGGGGTTTATCTTTTTTGCGCCGTGTAGGGTTTGGGTTTACGGACGTTTAGGGTTAAGGGTTTAGGGTGAATTTAGGCCATGAGGCGTGCACCCGACGGCATAAATCGTCAAACATCCTGACATCGAAGTCACCAGAACGTGAAGGCACAAACCCGAGAAGAGTCCTTCAGCTTCATGGAGATCACCGAGAATCCTCCAGTCATCATTGCTTTTTTTGTGCTTTCAATTTTGTATTGTAGGGGGTTGCTATCGGGAGTCACAGCAGGATTGGTGTTGTAGGGAGGGGCTGGCACATTGAGTTTGAAAAGTCGACGACACGTCTCAGCCACTCATGTCCTCTCTTGCGCGTAATGTGCTCCGACAGTGAAGGGCAAATTGGGGCAAAAACCCTAAAACAAACTCAGCGGGTATGCGAAGAGTGCCTGCTGGGCCGTCGATTCAACGCTAATCCTGACGACCAAACCAAGCCGCCATTAGGAAAGTTGAAAGTGCCGAGACTTCGAGCAATTCGAACGAAACTTCGAACTCCAAATCCCAAACCAATTAACGTAATACACACTCAACCCCAAGACCTAAACCCAAATAGAATCTAAACTCAGGACCTCAACCCAAAACACAAATACAAACTTTAGGACTGATGCAGACAGCACATGCACACCTGAAACCTCACACCCTACAGCCAACCTTAACACACTCGAACCCGAAACCCCTGACACCTCTAATGCTCCTGAACCCTCACCCCCCACAGCACCTAATAAAAACACCCTACTCTGTTGTCTCAGGGCGATCCTTCCATGAACTCTTTCATTCGCTGCTGCCGGAGGCGTTCTAGCGTGCGGCGCGCGTCCTTCGAGCTGTTCTGAAATAAACAGCAGCGTAGGGTTTTCGGCTTCGGGCTGCGGGATTTGGGCTTCCTGTTTTTTGTGCTTAGGGGTTTAGGTGCTTGGTCTGGTGTTGACGGGTATAGAGTTTAGGGTAAGTTTGGGGCTGATCTAGCCGGTCTTGGTTCTTGGTGGTGTACTATTACAAGGGTTCTATAAAAGTCCAGGGCTCAATTTCATGTTTCGGGTGGCTCTCCGGTTGGAGCTTCGTGATTCGGGCGTCGGATATATGACTTTCGATTCGGGTTTGGGACCATAGCGCCTCAATGTGGCTAAAACGGGGATGAAGTGTGCATCTGAATAGTGGCAGCGACAAGAGTTTCGGGTGCTTACTTTTCCAATGCCTCAATGGAGACAAGCAAGGCTACTTTCATTTTGAGAGTGGTGGGGCCCAGCTCCATGTCGTGGATTTCGGTGTCCTCTCGAGCATTGTGCACTTGCTCGTAGTCACCAAGACGTGCACGATGCTCACCATCAGCACGTCGAAAGTCCTGCACAGGTGTAGCTCACGGCTTACCATGGCGGCACTTCACTCTGAACTCATAAAGACTTCGGGACCCTTGTGTTGTAGAATCCTGTGCCCTCATACTCTCGGAGGCTCTCGCACCAGGCTGCACAACGATGTTCCGTCTGGGGGTCGGGGGCTCGTCTTGGTTTAAAAGCCGTAACTTCAACGATCCTTTCAAGTATTCCGCAACATCAGTAGTGAGCTCTCCAGCTTGACAGTCTGTGCTTGACTCAGAGGAGATTTCATACGAACATGACACCAATTTAGGGATAACAGCCTGCCTTCAACAACAACGACTTTCGAAAGTCAGCAATGAAGCGGTGGCAGTGGCATGGTGGTGACTTACAGAGTAGCATTCATGTACATCTCCACATATGCGCATATAGTTGTATCTATGTATATATGCGCACGCACACTCACACATACGTATGAGTGCATGTTATATGTATACAAATACCTGGAAACAACAATGTTATAGGTGTGTGCAGATATGTATACAGTGTAAAACTATCCTGTGTGCAAGTTATAGGAACACATACACACACACAACATAGATGTACATGTACATATCAACGACCAGATGCATAAGCATAAATTGCAAACGAACCAATGTGAACACCTATGAACAAACGCGCAATACACACATATACATAAAATGTATACAGATGTGTATATACACATCTATAGGCATGTACGCAGACAGACAGACAAACATACACACATACGGACATACATATGAGCGAATACAGCTGAGGCATATTGCTCAGGTTGGTCCTCAAGCATCAGGGGGTCGCCCTCTGCGATAGCTTGGCAGGTTATATACTCCAAACCCTCGACCTCATAGCTTCATACCATAGCTCTATGGAACTATTTCTCACAACGTCGACCCGCCTGGCTCTTTTGCCCCTAAAAACTTGTTGTAGAGGGTTTTGTGCTGCAGGGTAGAGGCATAGGGCCTGGGGTGTGAAGTTTGCAGGGTTTAGTTAGGACTTTAGGGATTATGGTTTTGTCGGTTTGGGGTTGAGGGCAGAACAAGTATGCTTGAACTCTGGAACCGGCATAATGGCAAGGTCACTCCTTTACGGTCCGTTGAAAACTCTACCTACGAACAAGAGACTCAACATCGCCAACCAGCCCATAGCCTATGTTAGTGTAAGGTTGGTTTAGGGTCTTTGGGGTTTAGGGTTAGTAGTACCATAGCCTTATATTATTATCCAGGGGAATTTAGGGTCTAGGGCTTAGGGCAAGTAAGACCAAACAAGAAGGCCTCGATTGCGCCAAGGTTGGGCTTGAGGTTCTTGATGTTGGCCTTTGAGGCTTCAGGCTTATCCCTGCTTATCCAGTGCGTGGGGAAACTAAAGATTAACCTTCGGGATTATGTAGGGATCATACCCAAAATGGTTCAAGCTTACCCACTCGGCTACCATGTCTTGGTGTCTGGGATCCGGGTCCTCGTTTTGTCGGGCTTTTAGGGTCTAGGGCCTCAGGTTTCCTAGTGTTGTGTGGTCAGATGGGAGTTTCTGAAAATAAGGGTACCATATTTTGGGTTCCTTATAATAAGGATCCTACTATTTAGGGTACCATATCAAGGTCCCCCTATTTTCGGAAACTCCCAGATGGTGGGGGCTGATCGATCGGTGTTGAGGCTTCGGCGCTTCTGGGTTCGGGCAACCCAGAGAGCCCAATACCCCTTAATTAAAAATTATGGCGTAAATTATATAGGGCTTCATATTATGATTTAAGCTATATTCCTTAATTAAGGGGTATTGGGCTCTCTGGGAACATGGTTGCGCCGACTCGAGACCTCCGCAAAACCCTAGACAGGTTGCACACTTGAGGGCCTGTGCCGTGGCCATTCACAGGCACGGTTATCATCACTGAAGCTAAATGCAAGACAGTCATGTTCAGCCGTTTCTTCCAAATCACGAAGACATCCGATTTGGGTTCTTGCTAAGGTTAAGAAAATCTGTTGCCTGTTAACTCTGGAAATGCTGTATTTCCTAAATATGCGTTTCAGATCCGTTTGGGATCCGTTTGGGGATCCGTTTTGGATCCGTTTCGGATCCGTTTTGGATCCGTGTGGGTTGCGTTTGGGGCCCCAGCCCCGGAACACCAAAACGGATTTGCAACGGGCCCCAGACGGAACCCCTGACGGGTCCGCAGGCGGGTCCCCCAGATGGGTCCCCGGCGGGTCGCCGAAACCACGAATCCCTCGAGAGGGATCCGTTTTTAATCCGTTTTGGATCCGTTTTTAATCCGTTTTGGATCCGTTTTGAATGCGTTTTGGATCCGTTTTGGGTCCGTTTTGGATCCGTTTGGGGCCCCAGCCCCGGAACACCAAAACGGATTTGCAGCGGGCCCCAGACGGACCCCCTGACGGGTCCGCAGGCGGATCCCCCAGACGAATTTGTCGGCGGGTCGCCGAAACCACGAATCCCTCGAGAGGGATCCGTTTTTAATCCATTTTGGAACCGTTTTGGATGCGTTTTGGATCCGTTTGGGGACCCAAGCCCCGGGACCCCAAAACGGATCCAAAACGGATCCAAAACGGATCCAAAACGGACCCAAAACGGATCCAAAACGCATCCAAAACGGATCCAAAACGGATTTAAAACGGATCCAAAGCGGATTAAAAACGGATCCCTCTCGAGGGATTCGTGGTTTCGGCGACCCGCCGAGAACCCATCTGGGGGACCCGCCTGCGGACCCGTCAGGGGGTCCGTTTGGGGCCCGTTGCAAATCCGTTTTGGGGCTGGGGCCCCAAACGGATCCAAAACGGATCCAAAACGCATCCAAAACGGATCCAAAACGCATCCAAAACGGATCCAAAACGCATCCAAAACGGACCTGCGAAAACGCATGCATTCCAAACGGATTACCAAACGCATTCCCCCATGCATCCAAAACGGATTCTAAACGGATTATTAGGCTTCTGCGCCCCAACCCAGTGTTAGCAGAACCAGATTTTCATAATGCTAAGGAATTTTATGTAAGCTACCACAATCCGGATCTACCTTAACGTGAACCCAGCAATGGCAGTGCAGACTCTCGCATTGAAATTGAAATCACGCTGTCTTGACAAGGCGAGGCCTCACCGCTGGCCTGTTAGAAACCCCGACATGTGAACACACCGACCCTTGAAGCATCAAGTCCAAAAAGAACCCGAAGCTAGCGACAAGGGTACGCATACCGATGCGTAGAAGAACAGGCATGTGTTACCGTCTATGGGCCGTGCAAAATTATCCCAGCAGTGCTTGCTTAGTCAAACCCGAAAGTTTCATACAGTAAAACAGCACGAGTTCGGTTATCACGGCTCCTCTCACTCCATCAAGCTGCGAATGTACCCGGCGTAAACCTGGACCTCAAGTCTTGGACGGCTTCAAGGCAAAAAGGGCCTCCAGCGTGGCGATGCGGTCCTCGACCTCATCACGGGGCACCTGCGGTTTGGACTTTCGGGTGTTTGGTTGCCGGACTCCTAAATACCTGTACCGGGGGTGAAATATATGCTTCGTTACGAGAAGCACGTAGTTGCTTGGCCTAGGCACAGTCAAGGGTTCAGGGCTTGCCCTAAGGCTCCATAGTAGTTCCTTTTTGGGGTTCATATTTAGAAACCTATAAGGAAATCCCAAAAAGGAACTACTAACTACTATGGAGCCTATGGGTAGAGTGCAACTAAAGCATCTAGGCTTTAGCGCCCGCGATGTTGAGCGCCGGAGCTTCGATGCCATGGAAAAGCTTCAGCCTGCGGAACACAAACCCCAAAGTCAAAAGCTGGTAAGAGTGATAACTCAGTGTGAACCTTAGATTTGGGACGTGATCAAGCTACTTCTGTCAATGGCCCAAACCGGAGCCACTCCAGACATATGCGATATCGCCAGTCTTCGTCATAAACACAAATCAACAGGAAGCATCGTCCCTCTATCGGTAACCGGGCAGGCTCGACAACATGATCCCGATTATACTCCAAATCCTAAGGTTGACTACCCTAAACCTTGAAGATTATTATTACATGGGAGTTTCCGAAAATTAGGGGTACCTTATTCTGGGGGCCTTATAAAGGATCCTACTATTTAGGGTACTATATTCGAGTCCCCTATTTTCGGAGACTCCCACATTTGTACTTGGCGTTCTTCTGGTTGGCTCTCAGGACGTTAATTTTTGCGGTGACTACCGTAAAACCTAACCCTTTCATTAGATCCCTTTAAGGAGTGACTGAGCCCCAGCCAGCCTTGCCCAGCTCCTTCTCAGAGAGCTCCTCTGCAACCGCCTTGCGCGCAAGCTCCTGACCGCTCTTACCGTCCAGGGTTTTCAGGTTTAGGGTACAGTTTAGGATTTATACGGTTTATAGGGTTTATAGGATTTATCGGGTTTAGGTTTAGGGCCTGAAAATACGAGGGTTAAGGGTTAAGATATGTAGGGGTTAAGATTTCTACCTATACTGTTGCTGGCTAGCCAAATGGCCCCAAACGCCCTGAACCCGAAGCTTAACTGCTCACAGGGATCCGGCCAGAACACCCAGATTCAAACAGCCATCAAACCTCATTTAAGCCACTAGTTGAAGCAGATATTGACCTAAGAAAATCCTAACTCCCTAAATTCTAAACCCAAACCCGAAACCTAAGCGCCAAGCAAGTTCCTCCAACTTTCCGGCAGAACCGGCTGCTTCTCTGAGCTCTTTCCTGAGGTGAAAATGCAAAGTAGGAGGAAATCGAGCTGTGGGTGTCGGTTTAACATTTGGTGTGCCATCGTCTTGGTCTTTCTGTGGGCCCTTAGGGTTACCTATTTTTGGTCGGGCTTTGTCGGGCTTGAGGCTGGTTTGTAGGGCTGAGGCAGCACAAAGTCAACACAGCACTCGGTGTAGATATGCGCGTTCTACATGTCGGGTATGCCTGAATTTTGGAATGCTGCAATTTGCAGTCCTTTTGCAGCAGAACATTCTTTGCACGGATGTTTGATGGCAATCTTTGGAACGACGAGTTTTCCAGGATGACACGCCTCCCTCTTCATCAATCGTGAAGCGCATTTCCAAGGTAGACCTGGCGTATGAGGCCAAAAAGTTTAAGTTCTCCCATTGGCTCTTTTTGTGGGATTGGGAAATTGGGACGACATGGCTTCGGGGCTTTAGCTATAAACAAAAATCAATATGGGCTGAAAGAATTTCCTACTAGAAGTAATGAGGAATCTAACGGAACACTTTCACCAATGCTACCCATCCTTCAGAACTCACTGACTCTGTTACCTCAAGAAGACAACTGTGTTCGTGACAGAAGCATAGAGACGATGAAAACCTACGGACAAACATCAGCATCGCCATCGACATGATCAGCATCATTATCCTGCTTGTCTTATGACCTGCGGCGACGGTAGTATATCTGGACTCTCTGGACTAGAGAACCCTTATCAAATCCCTGCCCCCAAGTCTTATTGGAGCACGTCTCTGAACCGTATAGAATCCCATATAAACCTATCTTCGACAACCCGGTTCGACCCCTTACGAAACCCTAAAACCCAAATCCTAAACCCCTAAACCCTAAACCCTGAATCCTACACCCTAAACCCTAGACCCTCCTAAGTTCGACTCCCAGTCTCAGGAAGTCCAAGGGAAGCTGGGCATAGTCTTTGCGCGCTTCCTGAGACCCAGCGCTGAGAGCATCTTACGGCCCGGGCCACACAAGAACACAGGGGCCAACTACTGTAGTTAGATCAGACTTTGGCAAGGTTTGACATAGTGATTAAAAATCAGAAAGGAAACCGCAATAATGTATCGGCCTAACTAGTTTGAACAGGGTTTTGGGGTATATCTCATAGTGACTGAAAATAAAAAAGGATCCGACAAAAGGATTCATTAATGAGGTAGGCTCAGGTGCAGCCCTAAGCCTCAACGCGAAACCTCAGAGCCCCAAACCCTACGAAACCCACGAGCCCTGAACCCCTAAAGCATAAACCCCCTAAGCCCTAATCCCTAAACCCAGAACCCTGAAAGCACACTTACCTTAAGCTTTTCCACCGGGCCCTGGATGCCACCATGTCAAAATCAACGGACCTCAGCTGGTCTGGTTCAGAACATGTGGGCCCGAGGACCCTCCAACTTGGGAGCCTTTGATGAAAACAGCGGACCTCCAAAATAGACCTCTACATCAACCCCTAAGCCCCTAAGACCCTCATAGAAGTCACGTATGAAACGCGGATGAATCCAAACACAACCCTCCTAATACCCCAACCCCCTTAGACTGAAGAAACCCTAAACCCTATGAATCCACCCCATGTGCGAACCCTAAAGCCTAGGCACTGGACCCTAAACCCTAAACCCTGAACCCTAAACCCTAAACCCTGAACCCTAAACCCTAAACCCTGAACCCTAAGTCGTGGGGTCCTCCATCTTCCCCTTGCACGCGGACATGCGCGAGTGGAGCTCTCGAAGGGTTCGGGTCTTCTCCTGCCAAAGAAAGCTCTCAACTGACCCCCCCCCCAGCATTTCTAGGACTGTCCTTAACCCGGAATAACCTACCTTTTTCAGGGTTTATATAAAGAAATCATGGTATAAGGAACCCTGAAAAGGTAGGTTATTCAGGGTTAAGGGTTGCTTTAGGAATATTGGGGCTGAGGGAACAGAGGCTCGGAGGTTGAGGGTGCTTTCGGGGTTTAGCTTTCTCTTAACATGTCTTTCACAGATTAAAGGTGCAGACATCACGTTGCCAAAGCCAGCCGGACCACCACTCAAGACACTTTCGCCACCAAAGCGTACTGGAGGAATGCAACCCAGAACATGGCAGGCATCCAACGCTCGTAGCCCTGCGCAGCAACAGTAAACCTTGACACACTCAAAGGCCTGCATAGATTGCAACCAACAGACTTCCGACCAGTGCATGTATGCTGTGTGCTTGCGATGTAACGTATGCATGCATGCATGTATGGGAGCGTGTCTGTGTGCGTGTGTGTGTGTGTGTCAATGTGCACTGTGGCCTCCAATTCATTCACGAAGTCGACCTCTTGGCTCTTGAAATCGCTCGCCTTCTTGATCACCTGGGTAAACGTGAAATGCATGTTTCTTGCTCAAGTTTAACTCGGTGTTCGACATTGCCAGTTCTTACTCTAGACTATTAAACCTTGGGTCACTGTAGGGGCTTTGCACAGGGATACTGATACATTTTGGGGTTACAGGACTAGGGTTCGTCATCATGTTCCTACACTAGGTCACTAGGACCCCACCGGTCTGCATTGTAGTTTCTTTGTCAGTGTATCCAGTTTTGTGCTCAGGATCCGAAAAAGTATCCAAAAATAGGAAATACAATGGAGAGTATAGGTACTGATAGTTTGTGCTCTATATCGAGCTGCTCATCTTCTATGAAGAACACAAAATCACATGCCCTGACCCCAAAGAGTTACTCCGAGAGCGACTGTGGGCCTTTAAAGCATGGTCGGGAAGAGGTTTACCCAATGCAGTATTGCATCAATCTGGATGCGTATGAATGTGTATATATATATACACATGTACACATACCCTGACCGACAACGACTCTCGTTAACGATTGAGTGCTCCTGCTAACAAGCAATGATCTGCAGAAAATGGCTCAGGGCTGCAGTTTGCTTTGCACCCCTGAGGGGGCAAGCTCAAACTTGAGAACTGCTCCTATGTTCCTGCTCTGGATCGCCCCAGCGCCCAACACGATGCACTTTGACATTGCTGATACGGAACCTGTAGTTAAATCCCGAGCCCTGAATTCCGACATTCAGAATCCTTTCAAACGTGCATGTTGACGAACTGGCTGTAGCCAAAATGACTTCGTCACGCTGGTCTTTCAGCTTCTCCAGAACGGCGTCCTTCGCTGACATGCTTTCCTTCCTGGAGCTGCTGTTAAGGACTTTAAGCCTTTAAGGGTTCCTTTAAGGGTTTGGGGTTGAGGATTTGAGCTGCTATAGCAAGGGAAGCATATGATGCTCTGTAGATTACCCTGAACAAGAACCCAGGCTTGCCGATGGTGGCTGTGGTTTGAGGTTCTGTTTCTGCAGCAAATGCTCCAGCAAGCCGTACTACATGTCCCCAAAGACCTACGACCTAAAACCCTCGGAGCGTTATTGTTAAGTGTTCAGGTATTCAAGCAGCATCATAAACCCTAAAGCTCAAGTAAGGCTTGGCTTTGGCCAGTACCTGGTGAGACTCCTGAAGGGGAAGGGACCCTCAAAGGAGAAACGTAGTACCCTAACCAGTAGACCCGGCCTAAAGCCTAAACCGCAGACCTAAACCCTAGCCCAATGAAGCCCTGAGCCCCAGACCTAGACTTAACCCTACAGCCCAAACCGGGTCACAGACAGACTCTAATATAACCCTGAGTTGGAAAGAGTATGTAGATTCCGGATCAAGTCCATAAGCTCGCCAGATCCCCAAAGTCAAAATGTCTTGCCCTGGAGTCCTGGAGTGAACCGGGGTTCTACTAGGCTTGGCAGTCTCAGGCACAGGGGTTTGGGTTTTGAGAGCTTCTGTTGCAGACCTCTGGCTTCCATCTTGCATGCTGCATCAGAATGCCACCAGTCCCGAAACAGTGGACCTCCCATAGACACCCTGTGCAACAGGATGCATAAACCTTTACCTTTCAACAATAACGCAACCCTGAATTCGACAATCTCAGCCGGATCACCCTAAACACTAACCTTTAAACTCAACCTTAAACTCTTAAAGCCTCAACTTCACCCTAGACCACCCTAAACCCCGAACCTCAAAGCTCTCTTCTTCAACAACCAGGCGCCAAAAAGTTCAAACTTTAAAAGATAAAGCTAATATATAAGGCCGAAAAGTTTAAAGTTCCCCCGTTCACTATCTAAAAACCATCAAGAACGCCGAGGCGCATCTTGTTGTACTCGTTGAGCACCACCTCGGCTTTGTCGTCCAGCTTCGAGTGCTCTTCTTTCAGCTTCCTGGGTGTATGTAACAACAACAAAATCAACAAGCATACTAATAATATTGTTAATAATAATATAGTAATAAAGTTAATAATAGTAATAATATTAACAATAATAATAATAATAGTAGTAACAAATAGGAAAACAGGATTACTAATAATAATAACAGTAAGTATTAAAAACGATAGCAAAAATAACCGTTATCAGAATACTTAATCGCTTCTTGGGTGAGGAGGGAAGTTTATCAAGGACCATGCCAGACTTTAGGATTTGTGGGTTGAGGGATCCGGTTGAGGGCGGGTTTAGGTTACAAACACACACAGCTGGGTCCCCCCTAGTTAGTTTCTAGCTCCCCGAGCAGAAATCATACTGGAACCCTTCAACCATTAAGTCCCTAAGCCATGAAAAAGGAGTCTTAAAGACTGCCCTACTATACTACACCGTGGCCACTACCAAAACGACTGTGGAAACCGCTCCAGCCCTGTTCGACAGCCCAAGTGTCCATCGACGAGGAATGTCCCCATAAGCTGCCATGCAGTGATGATGGTGGTGATGAATGACGATGATGCTAGCTCTGATAAAGGTAAACATGATTATGATGCGGAATGGGTAGACATATATATATATATATACATATACACACACACACACACATGTGTATATATATATATATATATACAAGTGCAATGTTTTGGGTTTTTGCTTTCGGGATTCGTGCTTGGGGTGGTTTGTGGTTTGGGGTCCTAAGTCGTCAACACTAGGCCCTGAACTTTATGGCCTTATGGGGTTTAGGGTTTGGGTCCAACAGCTGCTGCTTGGCGACTTCAGCTTCTTCTCCTCTCCCTGCGACAGATGCCCGGTTGGGGACCACACGCTGGAAACCCAGACCCCTACCTGAATCCATCATTAAACCGTAAAGTTTGAAGCCTACAGCTCATCGACCCTGCAGCGACAAAGACTGGAAATTGAAGCTTCCAAGGGTACGGATTTCGGGTTGAGGGGTCTTCAAAATTTTAAAGTTACACTCATACAGCCCTTCTTGAACCCTGTGCACTAAAACCCTTCCTGAACCCTTACCCTTGCCCCACCAGCCTTGTATAGTATGGTCCTTGGGCCCAGAAGCTTTTACAGATGAGTCTTCAGAGACTTAGGGTTGTCCTAAACGTAAACTGAACCCCCTGAACCCTAAACTCCGTACACGACCAAACCCAACCCCTAAACCCTGAACCCCTAAACCCTACGCCCTCAACCCCTAGCCCTAAGGCCCCTATATATAAATACCTGGGCCTAAGCCTCTTAAAGCGAACATGCTTAGGGCCTTGAACTCGTCCGCAGCTGCTTTAGCATTGCCTTCTGCCTCTCACAGCTCTCATTGGTGCTTCAGGGTTTGGGGTTTAAGGTTGAGGGTCCAGGGTTTAGAGTTTAGTAGGAGAGTGGACCCCTATAGCAGTCCCTATACAATCGCGTCTCGTAATCCCTATATGCCCTCCGCCACTCTGCCGGCACCAGCAACAAAGGGACGCTGAAGAGAAAAGGGTAGTTTAGGGTTACAGGGTTTAGAGGTTTGGGGCTGTAGGAATTGCAAGTTTATTGGCTTTTGGCTTTTGGGGATTGCCATTGGAGGGATTAAGGAAATAGGGTTTTTACTGTTTAGGGTCGAGGAAATTTCAATGGTCACACTTGAGTCTGACCCGGACATACTGTCGAGGTTTAACAGAATTTAACCTCATCCGCTTCATCTTCAACTACTCTTTGTGGGACGTGCGTAGTCTGCGAATGCCACTGCGCGTCTGCGCCCTTCGGGAATACGGCAGTATCGTGACAAGCATCTTCTGAAACACAATGCTTGCCACACGTCCGAAGTCGGACATCATGCTGAAGTCTATATCCCGTGACCCAGAATAATCGGTCTGATTCCTGGAACGGTTGAGCAAAACAAACCCAGACTTCTACACCCAATGCTAGGATGCCGCTCGCGCATGGCCTTCTTGGAGTTCTTCACCTGACAGAGACAAGACGAGGGCTGGAAACTGACATGGGTGGTTGTCACAATTGTGGTCCCTTTTTGGGTCCCTGGTATAATACGGCACCTAATATTTAGGGTGCCCAAAAGGGAACCATAATTTTGACAACTACTCACATGGTCGTAGAACGATTTCACTTGTTTCAGCATGCTGCGGTGATGGGAAGCCTGACAGCTAGCGCTCCAACAACAACTGCGGTAAACCCTAGAAGTTGGAAACTTGCAAGAGGGATGTTGGGTGCTAATCTTCCACATAGTTTGTGCTTGGCTTGAGGCATGAGGACGGCGAGTTTCAAGAGTTACCTCACTTACTTCAGAATGTATGGCAGCTTCTTTTGAACATGCGGAAGCTTCTTTTAAATCTTGGCTTGAACTTCAATCAAACTGCAAATAGAGCCTACGTACCTTAAATCCAAACTGTGGTGACGTCCCTCCACAGGATGTGGGCTAATCACAGAATCAGGGGAGTTCTATTTACGGGAGCCCTGAACAGAGCATTGGTCAATTCTCAGGAATCCCCATATACGAGCTGCAAGGCCGGCATGTGCGACAGAAACAGCGGACTTTTGTTGGTGTTGCACACCACCTCATGACAATGAGTCAGCCGCAGCGGCAGAATCCTGATTTTCAAAAGCTTCTCCGATGGTGTTGATGAGTTTGAACACATCCTTCAAGTTCACGGCTTTAGTCTGACTGTCTCTCCACCAGAAGTGCCCAATCGTCCGCCCGAAACTGCAGGGTCGTTTCTCCTTGAGGCATAGCCTGCTCGGAATCGTGGGAGCCAGCTTGCGTGACCCTCGGTGCATCGAGCATCGTGGTCGCATTCTCGTCGCGATGTAAACTGACTGATCGAAGCACAGGCATGGTTTCTTCATACGTCGGCAGCTCCACCCCGTTCTGCGGGAGCTTGCAGAACGCAGCCATGGTGCTGTATTCGAGCGGACTGCGCAAAATGTTGCGAAGATCCATCAGCAAGATGCGGAGCACCTCCTGTACATCCTGCAGGATCACTGCAATGCCTCTTGCAGTTGACTTGGCGACGTCGGGCTTAGCGTTTAGGTTTTAGGGTTTAGGGTTTGCTCTCACGATGTCTTCCCGAGCACCGCGGTCCATGGGCCCTGTG